AAAAAAAAAAAAAAAATGTGAGCAAAGGATGGCACCCAAGCTTAGTGGGTAGGGCGCCAGCCACGTACACCAAGGCTGGTGGTTTCAAACCCAGCCCAGACCAGCTAAAACAACAATGACAACTGCAACAAAAAAAAATGGCTGAGCATTGTGGTGGGCACCTGTACTCCCAGCTATGTGGGAGGATGAGATAAGAGAATTACTTAAGCCTAAGAGTTTGAGGTTGCTGTGAGCTGTAACACCACAGCACTCTACTGGGAGCAACGTAGTGAGACTCTCCCCCTCCCCCCCGCAAAAAAGGGAGCAAAACATTTCCCAGGAAAACCTGCAGGCCCTGCCGGGGTCACTCCCCACTGCCACAGGACATATGATCTGTGGCCATGGACATTACTCAACTTCCCCCTGCTCAAAGATGTACATATGTTCTAAACATAGTTGCAACAACTTGCAGGAGATTCTGTAACAAAGTCTGATGCAGAAGTGGGGACAGTCCGCTGAGAATGTGGAGTGGAAGAGACAGGATCAGGTGCAGGGGAAGGTCCACTGTCTGCAGAGGACTCTGCCCCCACCAGACCATGGTGCACCCCTCCCGCTCCTTGATGACTTTCTTTAATTCTCCTACCCTCTGTCCTCTACCCTGTGACATGAGGGCACATCCCCCAGGGCAGGCTTTGGTCCTCACTTCTGGGACTTCATACTCAGCTCCACTGTCACGTGGCAAACTTCTTTTCATTTTCAATTTGCACATGTCCTGACACATGTGATTAAGTTTTTATCTCTTCATCTTGAAACACAGAACTGAGTTCAATAACTAGATAAATAGGCAAAACTCTGATCCTGCTGGGAGAAGATCAGTAGAAAATGGACTCTAATGCCCAACACTCTCCATCAGAAGCTGCCTGTATTATTTCTCCACAAACATCATCACTAGAGATCACACATGGGTGGGAAAGTTGGCTGCTGTGCTGATGACCTGGCTCCCTGGGGATACAAAGTCTTCTCAAAGCCTTGTTTGTGGCACTTGCTGGTTCCTGTGTGTTTTTGCTCCAAGACTCCAGTGTGGCCGCACCTCCCTCCACCTGACTCTGTATGTGTGGGGAACATGGAAATGACTCCCAGCCCTGAGTACATCAGGGGATGACTGTGTTTAGAGATAACGTCATGTAGTTTTTCTGTTGTTGTTGATAGTGGTGTTTTGAGTTTTTCTTAGATGGGAACACTGGACAGGACAGCTCATGTCTGCTGACTGTCAATCTGGAGGACACCCCACAAGGCCCTCTGTCTGGATGTCCTCCTAGTACCTGCTTTGGAGCAAACACCCCAGCATCTACTCCCACCTTCTTTGGAATCCCCCCAGCCCAACTTTAGGAGGCTGGGAACAGTCCCATGAGGGAACTGCCCTGCGTCTTTTGGGTCCACTTCAGCCTGCATGTGTGTGTCTGCATGAAACAGCCTCCCACCTGAGTCTGGAATCCTGACACTAGGACAGTCCCGTCTGTGCAGACCCTGAGTTTTCTGTCACTGCTTCCACACAGCAGTGGGACCCTACACCCTAATGACCCCTCTATGGTCCCAGGTATCTGTGGCCCCTCAGCTTTGGCCTCTGTTTTCTGATGTGGATCCTTTTCCACATGGAGAACCTTCAAAACCCCACGGGTCTTAACCTGGTCTGAAAACTACCCAGGATCCAGCCCCTCCATCCGTGGCACCCCTGGCCCCTCATCCGCTATGAGGAGGGGGGTCCCTGACAGCAAGCTCCAATCGAGGAAACCGAGGCTCAGAGAGGGAACTCACTGCCCAGGTCACACAGGCAGTGGACGATAATCAGGAATTAAATAAAACCCAGCTCTATATCCAATGCCCCAATCACAGCTCAAATCTAAGTGATTGTTCTCCAAACCCTGGAGGGGGAGTGGGTGCCCGTGTGACACCTAAGGCAACTGAGGGCTGAGGAGGCAGCAGAGACTCGGAGAAGGATCCCAGGAATGTGCAGAATAGTAGAGGGGTGGAGAGAAAGGAAGAGGGGATTGCTTAGAAGAATGAAAATTCACAGTCCACAGTCATATGTCCTTCCCTTATTCCCTGCATGATCCCTTTGTGCTCCTGGCCACACAGCAGCTTACTGTGAGCTGCTCTGTCACATGTTCACAGGTCTCTGCTGGTCTGAGTCAGCCAAGGGCACAGACCTGCCCTTCCCTAAAGCATCTCCTGGGCAAGTTCAACAACTAGCCATGGTGAGGACCCCACCACACTGTGCAGAAGGAGGGAGGGGATCTCACCCTCACTGGGAGGGGCCAACACGGGAGGCACCAGGTCCATTTGCTGCTGGGTTCTGACCCTCAGTGAGATGAGGACAAATGAGGCAGATGGTGGCTGGGGCTCAGGAAGAACCCACTTCTGTCTGAAGGGTCTGCAGAGACCCAGGTGCTCACTCCAGCCAAAGTCCTAGGGAAATGAGAACTTGGCTTCTGGCGGGGGGAGCAGTTCCCCTTCCTGTGGGGCAGCTGAGGGGACAACCCCAAACGGGAAGAACCCAGCCACCCAGTGAACACACCCTGTGTTTCTGTCCTGAGGTCACCGTGGTGCCCTCCAGCTGCACAGCCAGGGCCACTAGGAGGAGACACCATGACCCCCACCCTCACCGCCCTGCTCTGCCTTGGTGAGATGTGAGGAGGGACAGGGAGGATCCTGGTGTGGCAGGGACCCTCCCTGGGTGGGATCCTCCTCATGACCAGGCTCTGCTCTATCAGGAGACCCCAAGGAATCAGGAAGTTCCTGGGGAGGAGGGGACACGCTCTGCCTTCAGGGACATATCTCTCACAGAGAACTCTCTTCCAGGGCTGAGCCTGTGCCCCAGGACTTGCATGCAGGCAGGTAAGTCTGTCCCCAGCTGTCCTGAGTCCCTGCTCCTCACTGGGGATGAGGGGACACCCCTGGGCAGCTGGGGATGGGAAACAGCAGCTCTGGGCTAACTGAAGGGGATGTCTGGAGGGCTGAGAGCTGGGATCTGAGGGTTGGGATGTCTTGGGACCACCTCTGATTTCCTTCCAGGGAACCTCCCCAAACCTACCCTCTGGGCTGAACCAAGCAACGTGATCTCCTGGAATAGCCCTGTGACCATATGGTGTCAGGGGACCCTGAATGCAGAGGAGTATACACTGCGTAGAGAGGATAGAGTGGGAACCTGGCCACTCGAAACCAAACAGAAACCACTGAAGCCTGGGAACAAGGCCAAGTTCAACATCCAGTACATGACAGTACAACATGCAGGGCGATATCGCTGTTACTATCGGCGCAGCCCATATGGATGGTCAGACCCGAGTGACCCTCTAGTACTCATATTGCGAGGTGAGAGGACACTTGGGGGTCCCAGTTCCAGTTTCTGCCGTCAGGAAGGGGGTCTGCTCTCAGGAGCATCTCCCTCTCACAGCCCAGCCCTGGGGTGATGTGGGAGGTGTGAGCCCCATCTAACACAGCTGCCTCCTTCTCTCCTAGGACTCTACGCTAAACCCACCCTCTCAGCCCTGCCGAGCCCTGTGGTGATCTCAGGGGGGAATGTGACCCTCCAGTGTGGCTCACAGAGGAAATTTGACAAGTTTATTTTGACTAAGGAAGGAGATCAAAAGGTCTTCTGGACACTGGACTCACAGCAAACCCCCTATGGGCAGTTCCAGGCCCTGTTCCCTGTGGGCCCTGTGACACCCAGCCACAGATTAACGTTCAAATGCTATGGCTGTTATGGGGAAAATCCAGAGGTGTGGGTGGGTCCCAGTGACCCTGTGGAGCTCCTGGTGTCAGGTGAGGACGCCATGGCTTTCTCTTATGCAAGTCTGGGAAACAAGACAAGTTGTCGGGAGTTTTGTCGATGACTGGCCATGGCAGGGACCCAGTGCAAGGTGATAAGAGACAGGCTGAGGAACAAAGGGGACCCCACGGGAGTGTCTGAGAGGGAGGACAGGTCTTCGGTCACATTCACCTGAGAAAGGGAATCAGGAAGGCTGTTTGCTGTCACCTCTTGAACTTAAGTCAGATGAGAGCAGAACAGGAAGAGAGCAGTAGCCACGTGGCAGGGGGACCCAGGTGTCTGAAATATCTCAAACAGCCCCAGGTGTGAAGAAAGAGCTCCTGGGCCCAGAGACCCCAAGAGTGACAGACAGTGAGACCTGCAGGGCCAGGGCAGGACACTGAGGAGCTGACAGGAACTGGCCCCTGCAGCTCATGGCCTGTCCTTCCCCCCAGGTGTGTCTAGGAAGCCCTCCCTCCTAACCCTGCAGGGCCCTGTCCTGGCCCCTGGACAGAACCTGACCCTCCAGTGTCACTCTGATGTCGGCTACGACAGATTCACACTGTTCCAGGATGGGGGATATGTCCTCACCCAGCGCCCTGGCTGGCAGCCCCAGGCTGGGCTCTCTCAGGCCAACTTCCCCCTGGGCCCTGTGAGGGGCTCCCACGGGGGTCAGTACAGCTGCTACGGCGGATACAACCTCTCCTTAGAGTGGTCAGCCCCCAGTGACCCCCTGGACATCCTGATCTCAGGTGAAGGGCCCAGCGGGTTCAGTCAGGAACCCAGACTTTGCACAGGCCCTGCCATGGAGGCTTCAAGGAGTAATACACTGGAGGAGGGGTGGGGGCCTCAGGGATTGAGTGGGACAGAGAGACACAGGGGTGGGTGGGGAGGGGGAGACTCACAGACACAGAGACAGGGACACTGATGGTCCTCAGAGAGAGGCCCAAGAAAGTGTCAGCTCAGAACGAGGTGGGGGCCACTCCCACCCCTCCTTCCTCTCTCTAGGACAGCTTCCCGACATGCCCTCCCTCTCAGTGCAGCCAGGCCTCATGGTGGCCTCAGGAGAGGATGTGACCCTGCTGTGTCAGTCATGGAAGAAGACTGACACTTTTCTTCTGGCCAAGGAGGGGACAGCCAGTCCCCTTCTGCATGCCGGATCAAACTACATAGCTGGACGGTACCAGACCAATTTCTCCATTAGTCCTGTGACCTCAGCCCACAGGGGGACCTACAGGTGCTATGGCTCACACAGCTCCTCTCCCTACCTGTTGTCACTGCCCAGTGAACCACGGGAGCTCATGGTCTCAGGTGAGGACCCCTGACCCTGCCCTCTGTGAGCTCAAATGGTCAGCTCAGGGCCCTGCTCCAGAAGAGCTCTGGGCTGTGATGGGGTGTGGGGACATGGGGGAGAGTCAGCAGAGGGTCTCACCTTCAGAGGGGAGGAGGCCAGCAGGGACCTCCAGGGTGCCCACCCTCTCTGCCATCAGCTGGGGTCCAGAAAGTGCCAGGTGGGGGGAGGGAGGGTCTTATGGAGACCACAGGGAAGATGTAAGAGGAAAGTTTCAGTGGAAGAGGGGACTCTAGGAGAAACACTAGCCCCCCCCTTGTCCTTATCGTAGGACCCTCTGTGCAGCCCAGCCCCCCATCCACAGGGTCCCCTCAACACCTGGTGAGTCCCAGGTATATCTCAGCTCAAAAGAAGCACAGCCCCTCACCCCAGGGGAGCCCCAGCCCCTCTCCCAGTTATTGTCTTTATTCCCAGGACCCTCTGCACCCCTGCCCCCCACTCACAGGGCCCACCTCAGCACCTGGTAGGTCACTGCAGTATCTTGTTTCACAGCGAGCAAGGCCTCCCCCAGGGCAGTTCTGAGTCTCCCAGGATTTCCCTCCCCTCAAATGTTCAAGGGTGGGCTGTGTCCAGGAGTCTGAGAGTCAGGAAGAAATGTGGGGAACCCCAGGCTTCCAGGAGTGCTGAGGCTGTCTGGTGAGGGGTGGAGGTCCAGACAGGGGAGATGTTGGGTCCAGTCTAGGAGAGGAACTGGCTGCAGTGGGGAGCGGACAGCCCCAGCCCCTCAGCTCTCCATCCCTACTGAGGAGGCCCAAGGATCACCTCTCACCCTACAGGGTCAGGCCCCAGAGTGACAAGTGAGGGGTTCTGAGCTGGGAGGTAGGGGGCCCAGGAAAGGCAGGGCTGAGTTGTTCCATCGGTCCAGGCTTCTCTGCGGACAGGGACATGGACAAGTCTTTCACAGCTGGGCCTCAGTTTCTCCAGGTGTGAAGGGGTGAGACCTGGCCCAGAGGGGAAAGCTCCCTCCAGGCCTGGCTCCTGCTGTGACCTACTGGGAAAGAAGGCCCTGGGAAAGGCTCCAGGAGTGTGCCCTGCTGTGGCCTGTCCCACCTGCTGGCAATGGTGATGCTGTGCAGGGTGGAGAGCATGGCTACAATGAGGGGCGTTCAGGCTCTGACCCTTCAGCTTGGAGTCAGCTCTGGGGGACAGAACAGGGCAGCGAGTCAGCCTTGGGGTCACTTCCAGCTATGCCTTCTCCTGGCTGGGGCAGGGAGTCACCTCACTGAGCCTCAGTTTCCTCCTCTGTGAAATGGAGGGAGGAGGGGTCCCATGTTGCAGGAGGGGTGAGAGCTGTAGGTGATGATGCAAAGCCCTGGCACATGCTTGCACACAGTAGGTGTTCAGTTACTGGCATCATTCCTCACTCCAGAAGTCACTTGGGCCCAAGGCCTGGACACGTTCCAGAAAGGCCTGATAGGGGTGTCAGTGGCCTTCATCCTGCTGCTTCTCTTCGCCCTCCTCCTCCTCCTCCTCCGACACCGACACCGGGGTCAGGGCAAACACAGGATCCCAGGTGAGTAGGGAATGGGGGACCCAAGGTCGGCTCAGGCACCAGCCACAGGGAGATAAACAGATGGGGAAGGTCAGTATAGAAACGGTGCTCCTGGCTTGGCACCCGTAGCACAGTGGTTATGGCAACAGCCACATACACTGAGGCTGGCAGGTTCAAACCTAGCCCAGGCCAGTTAAACAATGACAACTGCAACAAAACTGGGTGTTGTGGCGGGTGCCTATAATCCTAGCTACTTGGGAGGCTGAGGCAAGACAATCTCTTAAGCCCAAGAGTTAGAGGTTGCTGCGAGCTGTGACACCACTGCACTCTACTGAGGGCAACATAGTGAGGCTCTGTTTCAAAAAAAAGAAAGAGAAAAAAAAAAGAACAGAAAAGCTACTCCAGCATTTCTACACCAGGACCCTCTGGAAAGCACAGATAGCAGCTCATATGCCCATGTTTGAGCACCTGCAGAGTGATCAGGGTTCTGCAGTGTGTGCAGTGTCTGTGAGGGGCATCCCCAGGTTTCCTTGTCCCCTCGAATTTTGGGGCAGGGCAGGAGCTTCTAATCTTGTAGGGCTGAGACTCTGTCCATCTCCTCCCAGCCCAGAGAGAGACCGATCCCCCACGTCCTGCAGGGTCTATTGAACCAAAGCCCAAGGACAGAGGCCTGCAGCAAAGGTAATTTTGCCCAGACTCCCAACTGCACCCACCTGTGGCCCCCTCACTGCCCCTCACCTTCTGTGTTCTCCCCCAGGTCCGGCCCAGCTGCAGACATCCAGGAAGAAAATCTCTGTGAGAGGAAGGGGACCCTATGGGGAAACGGGGATCTTAGGGGGAGACAGGGACCCTGGGGGTAGTCGGAACCCAACATTCAGTACTAATGGGGGAGGGGCAGACTGGAGAGGGTCTGGGCTCAGGGGCAGATGGTCTGAACCTCCCACTGGGGCCCTCAGCAGGGGAGGGTGGAACTGAGAGGGAATGAACCCAGGGAATGAACCCATTCTCTGTCCCTGCAGACGCTACTGTGACTGACACTCAGCCTGAGGACGGGGTAGAGCTAGACAGTCAGGTGAGACCCCTGTCCCCATCCCTGTCCAAAGGCCTCCTGTTCTCACATGTAATCAGAGGACATACCCCTGTCCTCCCTCAGCTCTCAGCATCATCCCATGGGGGCCCCTCCCCCTGCCTGCTGCACCCTCACTGCCCCCTTGTTTCCTGTCACCTCAAGTCCCCTTCTTTCCAGCTCCCTAGCTGATGTCTGGGTATCAGAGAACATGGGTGTCAGAGAGCGCCTGGCTCCCCTTCCTTCCTTCACCCAGCAGTGTCCACAGGGAGCTTAGTCTTGAGCAGTCTGGGGGAGCTATAGACATGGCAGGGAGCACAGATGCTTCACCCTCCCTGCACTCACCTGGGCAGGAAACAATAGGCAGGTACATGCATGGCGTCCTGAGTACAAAACACCATTAGGGAAATAAAGGGAGAAAAGAGCAGAGTGCATGGGGAGTGGGGTCCATCTGGGCTAGGAGGGGAGGGCTGTCTGATCAGGTGTCTCCTGAGAAGGAGCCCAGAAGGAGAGGACCACAGGGACACCCAGTGCCCTGGCATCTACAGCAGAGGAAACTTGGCAGGAAGATGGTCCTGCAGCTGGAGCCAAGTGAGCAGGGTCAGAGTGTGTAGACAAGAGGTCAAAACTGTAGCCAGTGGCTCGGCGCCTGTGGCTCAAGTGGCTAAGGCGCCAGCCACATACTCCTAAGGTGGCGGGTTCACGAATCCAGCCTGGGCCCGCCAAACAACAATGATGGCTGCAACCAAAAAATAGCTGGGCGTTGTGGTGGGCGCCTGTGGTCCCAGCTACTTGGAAGGCTGAGGCAGGAGACTCGCTTGAGCCCAGGAGTTGGAGATTGCTGTGAGTGATACCACAGCACTCTACCCAGGGGGACAGCTTGAGACTCCATCTCAAAAAAAAACTGCAGGAAGGAAGCAGCCAGGCCCTCCCAGGTCCTAGGAAGTTCCTGCAGAGTCTGTCAGGAAAGTGACATAGTCGGTCACTCTGGAATCAGTGTGGAAGCTTACTTAAGGGAGGTTGAGTGGCATCAAGGAGACACAGTCACTGCCTCTCTAACAGCCCATAGAATGAAAACCAACAGAGAGTGACCTATTCCCAAGCAAACCACTCCTGATTCTTCTTCCCCACTGTCCAGGGAATTCCTGGAGATGTGGGACAGACAGGCAATGGGGACAGGCAGATAGACAGTCAGGTGGGACTTTCCTCCCCAGGCTCCCAGGCCTCCCCCACTCTAACCATGCACCTTCCTTCTCATTCTTCCCCGACTTCAGGCTGCTGTATCTGATGACCCCCAGGATGTAACCTATGCTCAGGTACACAGCTTGACCCTCAGAGGGAAGACACTTAAACCTCCTTTGTCCCAAGAAGGAGACGCTTCTGAGGAGCCCAGCGTGTATGCTGCTCTGGCGGTCCACTAGCCCAGGAGGGCTCCACACCCCACATTGCAGAGGCTCAGGGACTTGGAAGGCCCAGGAGCTGCCCCAGTGGACACAGGACTAGTGAACCCCAGCCTAGATCCCTAACAAAAGCCACCAGGAGGTCCAGGGAACTTTTGGGAGTCGCCTGCATCAGAGATAAATAATATCAAGATCTACAATTTGGAAATAAAGTAACAGACTTTTCTTTTTTTAATTAACAGACTTTTCAATAGTCAATGAGTTAAATAAATAAGAAAATAGAATTGCATGATAATATCACTCATCAAAGCTATGCAATGAGAAAGAACAATGAATGTACCTTCTAAGAAGCCTTAAAAAAAATCAGTGGTTATGTCAACAGTTTAGAAAAATAATAAATGATTCCAAATGAAGGTAGAAGGAAGGAAATAATGAGTAACCATTCTAGCCTGAGCAGAGACCCTGTCTCTACTAATAATAGAAAAAACTAGCTGGGCATGGTGGAGGGCGCCTGTAGTTCTAGCTACTTAGGAGGCTGAGACAGGAGGATTGCTTGAGCACAGGAGTTTGAGGTTCTTTTTTTTTTTTTT